TGTGCCACCATGGTTCATATGCTTTGTTGTTTCTATGTGTCCAGAGATGTAGGGGCATAGCTGCTCCAGATAGGGAGTCTTCCTTTATGGACCCTCAAAAATGGCTGAAGTGAAGGTATGATAGCATGCTTAAGAGCTTTCATTTTGGATGATTATGCAATGAGGGAGGCAGCGTACCTGATGAAGTTGCTGACAAAGTTCAGGGTCATAGTTAGGGCAGACAGATGCTCTATCTTTTATGCATTGTTTGATGCTTTCCCCTATCATAACCCATGCTAAGTAGAATTCTTCAGGAGCGGCCTTAAAGTGACATTGTAGTCGCTCTTCTATCTTTCCAAACAAGTACAAATTCGTTGCCCATACTTAGGGGCAAGGCCAAGGATTTATGTTTCAGGAAGATAAATCCCAGATGAATGCTGGGAAAAATTTCCTAACAGTAAGATTCATTAAGCAATAAGCCAATTAATTAACCACGAAGCCTTGTGGCTTTCATGGTTTGGATGCTGGGTTGGAGTTTAGCAAGATCATGTTTGAGACCTACTGTGGAGTGGAGTGAGCTCCTGTCCTTTGGTCCTGCTCACAACTGGGCATCCCGCAGACAATGATGATGTCATTGGCTTAATCCTTTCAACCTAGAAGTGCTTTGTTGCTTCTGACATGAGTGCAATGCCGAGCTCAGAAGGATGGAAGGCTGAGTCAACCTTGAGCCAGTCAGGATCGAACCCTTGGCAGTGAACTGAATTTTCCTGCAATACTGCATTCTATCTACTGTGCCACCAAGTTTCATACCCATGGAGGTTGTAACTTTCCCTTGAGTTTAAACCAGGTGTCCCCAAATTTGGCAACTTTAAGATTTGTGGATTTCAACTCCCAGAATTCTCCAGCCAGCATGGGAGTTGAAGTCCACAAGTCTTAAAGTTGCCAAGTTTGGGGACACCTGGTTTAAACAAAGACAGTCATCTGTCAGCTTTTGTTTGGATTCTTAAACTGAGTGGGGTGGTTGGACTAAGCGGTCCATTCCAAGAGTCTGTGACCTTGCAGAGATTCTATGATTCTGCATTTCAAACATCTTAAGCCTTATTTCCAATATTTGGTAGAGTCCTTTCCTCTGAGATTTGAATTGGGTATGTTTGGGTTTAAATATTTATCCTTTAAAATATTGTGTGGATATGGGTGTTGAGCAAAGCCTGAGTCTTTCAGTTATCTCTTTAAAATAACACACAGGGATGCAAATAATGAATGAAGAGAATGAAAGTTCATGTTGGGTGTTTTAGAAAGGGCAGGGGTGTCTCGGTGCTATGAAAAGTTATTGCAGTAGGAAGCTTGGAAAATAAATTTTTAGAGACACGAGAAGCCTGCCTTTAAAAGCCTGTTTTTATGATGTTGTAAAGCTACTAGCATTTTCCACTACAATTTTTCAAGGCTGATGAAATGCTTGATCTATATCTTAGATAAATTTTATGATGTTACCCTTAAAATTCAGAAGAGAAATATATTTCTGTTAGTGGCAACATAAATCTAAAATTTTCCTTTCTACCTTACAGCAGTTAACACAGAAGTTTCATTTTGTAAACAGTTTTTATTACATTTTCTCTTCTGATATTCACAGAACTAGCCAAGAGCACATGTAAAGGTAGTCAACCCACTGAATAATTTTTGTTTGTTAAAATTTAACCCTGCAATCAACAAATAATATTTTGTGTGAAAGAATTGAATAAATATGAAATATATTACTCAGCATTAAATAGAGCATATTTCTTATTTTTTCCTCACTAGTGGCAAACAAAATAGCTTATTAGAAAAAAGGCATTTAACTCTCCACTTCCTTTTGTTTATCCAGCATTTCCTATTAATCTCTCCACTGATTTATAAGCCACGGTAAATAGATTTAAAGCTACATTTTTATCAGAAATTACTAAAAAATGAAATATAAATCTGAGATAAGATAATAGTTTATTATCTTAAGAGTATTTGCAGGATCAGCTGGACTGAAACAGTTGCTAAGTTATCTGAGAGTTACTTGAATTGCAGCAGGATAGGTAGAAATGGAATAAATTTCTTTTAAACAGAACTATTCATTTATTTACAGGCAAAAATTAAAATTAAAAATAATTTTAAAATAAAAATAATAATTAAAAATAATAGTCAGCAAAGATATTCTGTATTCTAGTTAGGACCAGGGGTGGTATTCATCAGGTTCTGACCAGTTCTGGAGAACCGGTAGTGGAAATTTTGAGTAGTTTGGAGAACTAGCAAATACCACCTCTGACTGGAGATTTTACAGTATCCTTCCCTGCCACGCCCACCAAGCTACGCCCACAGAACCAGTAGTAAAAAAATTTGAATCCAAACTGGGGAAGAAAATGTATCTGCAAAATTCTGCACTGCTTATCAATGTAGGGCCGTAGCAAAGATGACACTCTTGTACTAGCAGCATACAAAGAGTCAAAAAAGGCATGCAGAGAAACATACAGCAACAGCACAAAACCTAAATTGTCACACATAGATATAAAAATTAATCTTCCTTGAGTGAGTGACTTGACATTGATTGATACAGAGATTATATTATCTTGTTACTTGGACTGCTCTTTATAGGTACATCATAATATACAATTATGTTAAGTTTAAATGTTATAAGTAATGCGTGAAAGCAGTCCTAAGCTTCCAAGGTCAGTGGCTGAAGAAATTAGAATGGCAGGGCAATAGAATTCCACTAAATGAAGGGAAGAAAACTTATGTCCTAGGAAATAAATAACAATTTCCGAGCAATTTTTCAAGCCATCAGCAGTTTAGTGCAAGAGGGCATTAGGGAGACAGCTTGAGAATCAGTGAATCCACAGCCAATTTGTTTTCTTTAGACAAACTGATCAGCTATATTAACTGAATTAGCAGCCGAGTAAAACAGCACTGGGGCCATATTACTTTATTTGGGTGGAAGTGAGCAATGAAGATGGATGTAAAGATTGGGGAGTAAATGATCGGTTAAAAGTGGAAGCAGGATGGCTAAAAACCTACGGAGGATTTGCTCCCTCTGGAGAGTAGCAAAACTCTATTCTCTGAGAACTAGAAATATTTCCCAGTTCTCCATTTTGACATCAGTAAGAAATATATCACAATTTCTTTCTAACCATGGCTGAGTAGGCAGTGAAAATTTATTTTCTAATTGATTTTGGCCATCAACATTATTATTTAACTGAGTGTACATCACTTATTGAAGCAGGTTTAAAAGAGGAGAATATAATGCATTACTTCATTAAATAATGCTTAATTTGTTAACATATACTCAATTTATGAACATTGTATCATATTGGATGTTTGAAAGGTTCTTTTTTTAAAATATGACCTACTATATCTAATGAAATTAGTTTTCCAGAAATGCTGAAATAAAATAACATTCTGGTGTATGATTTGAAGGAGGTTGCACGTCATCAGGTCATTGCTGACCCCATGTTGATTTGTTCCTAACCTGGTCTTTCAGTGGCATTCATTGCCACTGAAACTGAATCCATCTACCTCTTATTCTAGTTCCTTCTACCTTTCCCAGCATAACAGCCCCAGCATAAGAGCCTTCTCCAGAGAGCTCAGTCTTTACAAGATGTGATCAAAGTAGGATAATTTCAATCTGATCACTTGTGCCTTGAATAAGAGCTCTGGGTCAATTAATTTGATGATCCACTTGTTTATTTTCTTTGCTGTCCATAGCATTTCAGAAGTTTTTCCCAACAAGAAAATTCAAAAGGGTCAATACTCTTCTTATTCTGCTTCTTCAAAGCCCCAACTTTCATTTCCATAAAGTATCATAGGGACTAGCATTGCATGCACATTTCTTTATAGATGTAGACATATAACTGAATCTGAATATCTTTTCCAAGGTCTCCCTGGCTATTGTAGTAAGTGCTAGTCTGTGGCTTATTTCTTGACTGCTTGTTCCTTTAGTGTTGATCCTGAAAAGTAGAAGCTATCCAGCCCTTCAATAGCTTCATTGATAATTCTGAGATTAACTTTTCTACCCTGTACTCATTAGTGTGTTTTTGTTAGTATTTAATTTTAGTCCTTTTTTTTATTGTGGTGCTTCACTTTTTTACTAGGACTTGCAGATCCTTTACAGTTTTTGCTACCAGGCAAATGTCATCAACATAGTGTCATCAACCAATAACCTATTGGTATTTATTCCTATCTGTTGCTAAGCAAGAGAGTTGTTAAGTGAATTGTGCCCCATTTTACAGCCTTTTATGCCATGGTTGTTCAGCGAATTACTTCAGTTGTTAAATGAATTGTGGTTGTTAAGTGAATCTGATTTCCTCATTGACTTTGCTTGTCAGAAGGTTTTTAAAAGGTGATCACATGACCCTGGGACACTGCAACTGTCATAAATACCAGTCAGTTGCCAAGCATCCCAATTTTGATCATGTGCTACAATATTCATAAGTGTGGAAAACAATCATAAGTTACTTTTTCAGTACTGTTGTAATTTTGAATAGTTACTAAATGAATGGTTGTAAGTCAATGACCGTCTATATTAAAAACAGTAAAAATCTGAGAGATATAGAGCCAGGATTCAAAGAACTAATCATATTCCATAAAGATATAATACAAGGGTCTTCAAACTTGACAGCTTTAAGACTTGTAGACTTCAACTCCCAGAATTCCTGAGCTAACATGATTGGAGGATGAATTCTGGGAGTTGAAGTCCACAAGTCTTAAAGCTATCAAATTTGAAGACCCCTGATATAATACATACTCTTCAGAAAAGAGATTCTGCCATTATAATAAAAACTACTTGCTAAATCCCTGTGTTTCAACAGTGACTTATTAATTCATGTTGTGTAATTGATACATGATACAATACATAAGTTTAAAACTTGTTTCAGTGTAGATACATAACTGCCCGGATTCCTGAAATTTGGTCGTGATACATTAACAATTATTTTTAGGCAGATTGTTTACTGCATTTTTGTTTCCTGGTGATTGAAAATAATATTCATGTTTTTTTCTTGCAGTCATCACACTCAAACAACATCCTGGGATCATCCTAAAATGATTGAACTATTCCAATCACTATGTAAGTGCCCTTAAAACTAAAGCCTCTCCATGTGCAAAAGTGCAGTTTATGCCACATAAGCAGGATACAAGTTACCCTATAACTTTGTCATAATGTCATTCATGTTAATTCTTCTTAAAGTCAACTATGTCCAATGCCTGTATTATATTCTTATACTTTTTTCATTTATACAATGTACAATGTCCTCCTTAATAACCACCAGGTTCAGTTTATTGATTGTACACCTTCTAATTAAAGCAAAGGTATGTTGCAGTTTAAACCAGTAATGGGATTCAATTTTTTTTACTACCAGTTCTGTGGGCGTGGCAGAGGAAGGATACTGTAAAATCTCCAGTTAGAGATGGTATTTGCCGGTTCTCCAAACTACTCAAAATTTCCGCTACCATTTCTCCAGAACTGGTCAGAACCTGCTGAATACTACCTCTGGTTTAAATGGAAGTTTGGTACAATTATTATATTTATTCCTCAAAAAAATGCCATAGGATCCCATGTATTTGAATATAATATATTTCAAAACATACCTGATGACACTCTAAGGAATATAATTTGGCTAGTGCTTCTTTAATAATAAATTCAAGGTATAAGAACTGCATTATAGCAATAGCACTTAGGTTTATATACTGCTTCACAGTGCTTTACAGTTCTCTCTAAGCAGTTTACCCGATTAGCATAATGCCCCCCAACAATCTGGCTCCTCATTTTACCGACCTTGGAAGGATGGAAGGCTGAGTCAATCTTGAGCTGGTCAGAATTGAACTCCTGGCAGTCGGCAGAATTCGCCTGCAATACTGCATTCTAACCATTGCACCACAACGGTTCTTTTATGAAAGCAGTACATGACTTTTAGCATCCAGAGTTGTGGAATGGTTAAGGTGCTGAGTTTAGCACTAGAGACACTTGGTTTCAAGTCTGCCTCAGCTGTGAGGTATATGTTTTGAAAAAGCAAAGCCAGCACACTAGAGTGAGGGACTGCAGAACTCATGTTTAAAAGTTATAAGCTATCCCAGATAGTCTGTTTTGCAAAGAGTTTTAAAATATTACAATTGCTAATTTATTGGGTACTTTAACCTATCTCATATGCACCTACATAACACTCTTTCCTCCTCCTGACCTGTATCATCCCAATTGAAATCCTACATCCAGTTTAACCATTCCATGTATCTGAGGAAACGAACTATAGTTCACAAAATCGTATGTCTTTTAATAAAATCATTGTTTTGAAAAGGTGCTACTTGATTCCTTCTAAATCTCAGTCATGGATGTTCACAGGATAATTTTAGGCCCATTATCTTCTCCTAGCCCAACCTATTTCATTTTTGTTTATAAGGGTGAAAAAGTGAAAGAAGGAACATTATATATGCCTCTTTAATTTTCTGGAAAAAAAGCTGGAAATAAATATGCTGTCAGGATTCCAGCAGTTGCCCTAATTAAATCATGAGCCTCGAGCCAAGCTTCAAAAACTACAAAGAATTTATAAGAAGCGAGCATGTTGGCATGACCTGCTTGAAGCTGATTCTGAGACACGTAATTCATGTCACCCTTGACCCTGGTTTCCCCCCACCCCTTTGGGTGTATCATAATTCATATTCTCCAGCCGAAACACATTCATAGCTAAGAGTCATCAATCACATTCTCTAATTAGAGATTTGCATGGCAGAAATTCTGGTCACTTAGTTATAATCTTTGCAAGAGAAGAATGGAATGCACTTTTGGTTCCAAACTGCTGTACTGCTCTTTCAAATCCCCCCCCCCCCCCGCCCTTCTGTTCGTGGCAACTCTAAAACAGGCATACAAATGTTTTATGAGTTGACATTGCCATCAAGGATTTCTATTAAATGTATTATTAACACTTCTTATCTGGCTATGAATATATTGAAATTAAGACTCATGTAGTTAGAGATTGATCATGTGGCCCTTTTCCATAGAATTCAGTTCTAACAGGAAGTTGCTTCCAGTGGATGTATCAAAGTTTTGATTCTGAAGACGTGGAACTGTGAGAGTTGCTACTAAGAACCTCTGAGGATCTTATAAAAAAATATGCCACAGAGAGGACTGGTGCAGGGCAGAATAATACTAAAAATCAAGTCTCGTGCATTTCTGAAAGGCTTAGGAATGGCCACTGGAGCATCTCCAAGGGTTTTCACTAAAAAAGAAACACTTTCATTATATTTGACTTAAATTGCATTGAATCAGATCAAGTCACTTTTACCCTGGGTCCATCTATTACTTTGTTCTGATCAATTTTTGAAACATAATCCTTAGTATACCTGTCCATAGCTTGTTGCACATCTCTATGTTACAGCAACTAGCCTGTTTTGTATTGTAAGATAAATTGTTTTTTTCTCATCTGACGCCATTCATGTAAATGTTACTACGATGTTCAAAGTAAAGCTGTCTAAAATGTTAAACAGCTGCCATTATCCTATTCATTTTTTCTGAACAGGAACTAACTTTAAACCTCTCATTTAATTTGTAGTGTTGCATTCCTATTTTCTTTTTTTCTCTTAATTAATCAAGAAAAGGATCAACTATTGATTGATGGACTGTTGATGCATTTTGTTAAAACTGACAACAAATGTTTGATGGTATTGGGCTAATACTTCCTTAGAATATATTAACTTTTTCTTCTTTGGCTTTTTTTTAGCTGATTTGAACAATGTGCGCTTTTCTGCTTATCGTACAGCCATCAAGATCCGGAGACTACAAAAAGCTTTGCGTTGTGAGTATGCCTTTCAAAATTCATTACTCCTTTATTGTCCCAGAAATCAAAGTTATCTTGAAGAATCTGGAGATAGTTTCTTAAGCTGAAGATTTTGATATTCAAAATGGTAATACTAATCACTCCTAGCCTGAATCACTCTTCACCTAATTTGCGTTACTTGTGTCACTGTTTTGGAATGACAGTGATTCATACTCTTATCACTTTGAGTTTAGATGCCTACAAGGCACATGTCATGGACTGACTGCTTTACAAAGATTCAGAAACTGCAGATTTTCCCAAATGCAACAACCCAGCTGCTGATGGGAGTAAACTGCTTTAGGGGCATAACAACGTCTGCTGTGGAATCCATCTATCTTCTACATTTTACTGAAGGCAAAATGCTTTAGGGCTCTTCCTCTGATGAAATTTGTTGAACTGGACTTAGAGGCAGGTCTTCTTGATAATTGCCCCTATTCCTTAAAGCATATTTCATCAGAGGTCCAAAATGGCTCCTTTTATACCGTCATTTTGGGAGGCTTTTAAAATTATTTTATTTTGGAAAGTCTCCAGAGTTTAATGGTGTGCTTGCATGTCATTGCTGATAGGATGAGACATTAGCTTTATTCATTTGAGTTTTATATTAGTTTATGATCATTTATGTTGCCATGGCTAATTTGTTTTTATGGATGTAATCCATCCATATATCCAAAAAGGATATAAATCATTTTGAATTTCATGGTATACAAACTGTAAATTAGTAAATAAATAACAAACATGGTGCCCAGGAAATGTATGGGTGGTACAGTTCCAAGCAATTAAGGTAGGTAATAGATAAATGAAAAGAAGAGAGCAAGAAAGAGCTGTCCCTGGTTCCTTTTGGAGCAAAATATATGTTATGGGATGAAAATATTGTCTACAATGTAGAGGAACAGCATGCTGTTTGCTGAAAAAAATGATTAAAACACATATAAGTACACCTTTTAGTGAGTTAAATCATTTTGGATTCATGGTAGTGGGTTATACTTTTAAATAAACACATTTTTCCCTTTTAAAAAGTAATCCCTACATCTGCAGAACATAATCTCTCAAGAGATTACACAGAATCGGGTAACATTTGACAAATGTTAACATTATTGAAACATCCAGGTATACCTAGAAATCCACAGCTGTCTTTTTCAATCTCTCAGCTGTTTATTCCATTTTGCTTAGCAGCAGTCAAATCTTCTGCTTTTCTTCTATCATGGATTATACTGACAATTTATGTTCACAAAGGCAAATCAGGTTTCCAAAAGCTATCAACTTGGTATTTATAAAGATAGCTGAAACTGCAATAGTATATTCGTTTCTGTATTGCATAGTGTGAATGCAGTCATAGGGATAATTAAATGTAAATCCACTACACAAATCCTCCCATAATATATAGTTCAGTAAAGTAAACAAAAGGGATAAGACAATTTTATTGTCATTTACCTGTATGTACAATGGCACATATTAAAATGAAATTTGTATGCCCAGCTCTCAAAATAAGAAACATCCTTTGAAATATATAAAAAGCATACGGATGAATGGATGGATGGATGGATGGATGGATAGACAGACAAGTCAATTAGTTAGCTTGGTCTAGTGATTAAGGTACCAGGCTTGAAAACAGAAGACCATGAGTTCCAGTTCCGCCGTAGCCATGAAAGCTAGCTGGGTGACCCAACTCTGTCTCAGCCCAATTCATCTCACAGGGTTATTGTTATGGGGGAAATAGGGGGAGAAAGGCGTGTTGGATATGTCTGCCACCTTGAGTTATTTGTAAAAATAATAGTCAGGATATAAGTAAATAAATAAATAAATAAAAATACTGAAAAACCAATGTGTTCTTGGACTTCTGGTCTTTTAAACAAAACTTTTCTCTGATTGTTCAGTGAGACATTCTTTTGAGATATAAAATGGCACTAGAACTCATTGAAACATCAAGTGTTTTGTAGACAGATAATGAAGGAAAGATAGTGATGAGACACTTCTGGCATTGAGAACTAGGTTAATCACACTTTCATTTTTAGTTTCGTCTTCCCAGAAAAAAACAATGTAAGGTTTCTCTGTTCACAGATAAATTACTGGAAATCTCTTTAGCACTAAGAATGTGCAGAATGACTATAAATGACTGAGGTCAAAAATCTTGTTTGGCTGCCAGGCCTCACTGAATCCAAATCCAATTTTGTTCTTTTAAACTAATCTCTCTGAAGCAGAAATGCTAACAGGTGTTCTTTTTTCCTTTTTTTACTTTCCAACATCTCTGACAATAAAACATTTTATAATCTCTGTGCAAAAATAAGTAGTCACTATATTAGTTATTAAGTGAATTGAATTCAACAGTAGACAGATCTTTAAACAACACTACATTTACAGTTATTCTCGACATGGTTTTTAAGCTTGTTAGCTTACCTCTATTTGGGATAGGTAAAGCAAAACAAGTCTTGTATATTTTATTATCAGAAGGCACCAAAAATAAGTTGGAAAACTTAAGTTGGGGGCGATAATTTTTTAACATGTTAAATGTGGATGAACAACTCTGCAATGCTTCCATTTTAGGTGTCACCCAAACCAAACTGTCATGCATGTATAGTCTGTTGAAATGGGAAATAGTTACTATAATTTAAATCTGTAAGAGTGCCAGACTATATACAGGTAGCCTTCAATTTGCAACCACAGGGAGTTCAACATTTCCATTGCTGAGAAAAACAGTTGTTAAGTGAGTTGTGCCCCATTTTACAACTTTTTTTTGTCATGGTTGCTAAGCAAATTACTGGAATTGTTAATTGAATCATGTGTTTGTTAAATGAATCTGGCTTTCCCCATGGACTTTGTTTGTCAGAAGACAGGTGGGATGGTTATAAATGATGATTGCATGACCTCTGGACAGTGCAGCTGTCATCAATAAATGCCAGTTATCAAGCACCCGAATTTTGATTTCATGATTGTGAGGATGCTGCAATGGTTTTAAGTGTGAAAAACCTGTCATAAGTCACTTTTTTTCAGTGCCATTGTAACTTTAAATGATCTCTCCAAAATGGTTGTAAATTGAAGGCTACCTGTATAGTGATAACACTTTAAAGCAAATGTTGGATTGAATCCCCTTTTAACAGAGGCTCATCATCTGACTGTTAGAGGTGACTGTTTTAGCATACCAATTGCAGAGTTCAGAGGCTTTGGGTAGAAGTTGTGAAGATGTCTGAAGAATGTTGGAATCTGTGTTGACAATAATATGCTTTAATAAAAATGAATAAAAAGTTACAGTGTTGGTCTATAATAGTTTGAATATGTGTAGTCCCAATACATTTGATGGGTACTAGGTTGGGAAAGGCTACTCTAGACTAATTTTTGTCTCACTGGTTAAAGATAACAAAGGTAGAAGGATTTGCAATATTTTTGTTATCTAATTTTCAGCACAAATAAATGATAATCCTCCTTGCTTATAACTTAAAACTCTCTACAGCTGCAACACTTTTTGGAGTGTTACCTATAATTGGGAATTGTGGAAAAAGGACTGAAATTGCCTCCCAAGACTTCTGTAAAAGAAGAGAATGAGAATTGTGTGAGAGAAATACAAAATACATTGGTATTTTGTTTATTGCTAGTGCTGCATAAGAGGTAGCAAATGTTTGCCAATGCTTTTCTGCCCTACTATTATAAAGAGCTTTTCTGTTTAATTTCATGTCAGTGATATGTAACAATTTATCACTCATCCTAGAACTGGCAAACTGATCATATAAAAAGGTTTGAATGAAACTAAATATTAACATTCCAAATATCAGGTGAAAAGAATGCGAAGATAACACACTGCTTGCATTTTTTTTAATCGTTTCTAGTAAAAGTTGTCTCTAAAGATTATGGAACCATTTGGCTTCCAGCTTAAATCCTTTTTATCCCCATGAAATGCCTGTCTCCATAATTTAAGACTACTTGGGGAAAAATTCATAAAGAGCTTTTTTTGTCTCTTATCTCATTGAACAGATGATAATTAGTTTCCCATAATCACTATTGTAACTACAGGTCCTTTTGAAATTAACACATATTGTTGTCATCAGCTGTAACAAAAATGGGAGCTTCCATAATGGATGAATGCCACTACATATGCGCAAAGCCCCATTTTCACATTTTTTTCAAGATCATTAAGGGATTTTAAATGATACATAATTTTGCATGCTCTGCTAAGCACTGTTGGATGCCAATATACAAAGCAATTGCTGAATCCTGCTTAGATAGCTTTGAAATCAAGATGATTAATGCTTGTTTACATGTTGTAGCCAGAAGCCCTCACTGCCTTCCCAGTTTAGAATTCTTGGTTATAAATGGTGCTTCTTGTCAGAAACATTAAGTCTTGAACTTGGTCAGAATATCGAGGGCTTTTCACCTGTCACAAAAGTTATCTTTTTAAGATATCACTATCCGCATTTTAAAGGTTTTAGCTGAGCTTCCATGTAGTTAAAAAGCCTGGAAGATGAAGCATTTTGATCTCATGCCAAAAAGATATCAACATTTTGATTCCATGCCACAAAGATATCAATCTTCTTTTGGAAGAATATCACTTTCAAACCTGTATGCTTAATTTTGATGACTTCCCAGTAGAGGTGGCCACTTGAAATAAAAATATTTTCTGTGTTTCTTAAAGCTTCTACATGTTTATAAATCTTGTTTATGCATGTTATATTATCATACATGAAAGTTCATTGATGTGTTGCTTCTTGAGAATTATAATTTAGGGTGCCTTCAAATGTTTAGGCCCCCCCCCCCCCGTAATGTTATACGCACACATAATATTGTGAAGTATCTGGAAAAGCAATAAATAGATAAAAGGAAGATGACATATATGACTGAAATTGTGCTGAATAGGGATGTGAATGACACAGCATCCTAGCTGAGGCATTTCTCATAGCAGTAAACAAAATTTCAAACTAGATTAAATGCTAACTGATTTCTCCATCTACATCTATAAAGCAGATGGCTTTGGACTGTTAAATGCAGACTGCTTATACAAACACTTTTATTTAACATCATGAGTTGGAAAATAACTGAGAAAATGCTTTTCGAGGTGTAATATTGCTTTGCTTTAGGACTTAGAGAACTCATATACTTGTGATAAAAGAAATATCTTTTAGTTGACATATACGTATATGTATTTCCAGTGGACCTCTTGGACTTACACTCAACGAACGAAGCTTTTAAACAGCACAAATTGATTCAGAATGATCAGCTCCTTTGCGTTCAGGATATCATCGGATGCCTCAGTACGATTTACAGTGGAATGGAAGACAAGCACGAAGATCTTGTAAACATTCCACTCTGTGTAGATATGTGTCTCAACTGGCTGCTCAATGTTTATGATAGGTAAGTGTGAGATATTCAGGAAAATCTTGTAAGTGCAGCAGTTTCTTTTTACTGTTATATGTGGGAAAGATGAAACGAATCCACATATTCGTAATGCTTTTTTTTAATGCCAATAAAAACTCAAATGTGTTTACTAACTTCTGCTTGATAGATGCCCTTGATTACTATTTTCAGAAGGCTAAATACCTCAAATGAAAGCAGAACTAAAGATTGTTAGGTGCCTAGTTTTATGGGAGGAAGGAGCCATTGAGATTTGAACGCAATTACATAATTCAACAGGTCCTTGATATTTTGCTTCATGTGGAACCTTGCCTAGCCTTTTTATAACTGACCGTTATTTTCCACTTTATACAGTATGTGTTCAAGCCAAAGCCAACTCTTTTCCTGTAAAATCCCCCAACAGTAAAATGATTGTTCATAACTTTATCTTAACATTTTCACAAATGGGCTTGGTTTGTTTCTAATTCATCGCTTAACATGCTCATGGTTTATATCATTGATGTACACCATTTTTAAATAATTACCCACCTACAGGTTCCATCTGCTTCTCTCATGCTCTTCATCTGGAATTTAATTAGCATCTGTAAGACATGCTCACTGATGTTTATGGTCTTTGTAAGACATTAAGTGAAAACAATTGACAGCAACACCTATTGTCTTTTGTATTTCTGTCACATTAAGAATTATTTATTTCTCACATTAAGTCAGTAGAGAGAACAAAAGTGAAATTTAATATCACTGAATATTATTTTCAAAGATTCATATATTTAGAATCCATTAACATTTGCTCTCTAAAAATGCTCCAGCTTTAAACATAAGCCTATAAACATTTGCATTGCAAATGTGGTTTAAGTATGTAACACTGAAAACACAGTAATGTACTGGAACGAAAGACTAGCATGAGAAATTAGAATGTTTACTGCTGGTTTTCTTGTGGAAGAATTTCCAGCAGTGCCAGACATGAAGGACTTTCTGAATGAGGTGAATTGTTTCATAGAGAGTTTAAAAACTGGTTGCCTGTAAATGGTATAAATGAATGACCTTGGGAGACAAAATGAACTGCAAACTAGGCAACCATCACACAAAAGGTATATATGTTGTTCTTGCCTGGACTACTTTGAAGGGCTGAGAATGCCTGAAAGAGCATAGATAGAGGCTGTGGTAGGATTCAAATTTTTTTACTACCGATTCGGTGGGTGTGGCTTGGTGGGCATGGCTTGGTGGGCATAGCAGGAGAAGGATACTGTAAAATCTCCATTCCCTCCCCACCCCACTAACCTGCTTTCCAGCTCTTCTCCTGTGCAGGGTAACAAAAGAAGACCCAGCTGATCAGCTGGGACTCGGGAGGCAGAGAATAGATGGGGGCAGGCCAGTCGGAGGTGGTATTTGCCAGTTCTTTGAACTATTCAAAATTTCCCCTCCCTGTTCTCCAGAACTGGTCAGAACCTGCTGAATACCACCTCTGCATAGAGGACATTAGCAACCTATTTTACAAATGAGTCTCCATTTCAAGGAGAATCTTTAAATAACTTCAGAAACAGATTATTTTATTAAAAAATATTTCTTGCATTGACTGTGAGTTTGTACAAGGTTCATATGATAAGCACAGTTAGAAAATCCAAGGTGACACACAAAACTTGGCACTTTCCATAGATCATTGAGCAATCAAAGTTTGGTCTGGAATTCATGTGAATTTGTCAGTAGCAAGTTAGAGGTTTAGTTAGCCAGACACCATCAGATCTAGACAAAGGATTGTAGGAGGTTCAACAAGATGAAGAGTCAATGCATGCAGTTGAGATGTCACAGAAAGACATATATGTGTATCATCTTTCTCAATTTAGCTGGCATTGATCAGAGCTCATTGCAGAACTAGACTACTTAAGATTAATACTTAAGTAGAACATTAATACTGAAGAAGTTGTTTCTTCTCTCTTCCTACTGGCTCTTAATAAATATTGCCATAAACAATAGATTGAGCTTTCAGGTTGTATCTTTGTACTGAATCTTGTTATCTCAATGGCTATCAACCTTCTTATATAGAAGCTCAGTAATGAAAAAAGAGAAAACAAACAACAGACGCTTTGTCAATACCCAGAAATGTGAGTAGATCTGGGTCAATAGTTGAAGATATTAGCCCAGAGAAATCCCAAGGCAACCCACAGTCATAGTAACCAGGCTGAAGCACACAATCACAGTCAAAAACAATTATAAGCAGCTCAGGATTAGCTGACAGTTGCTGGCAATGACAGCTGAAAGACTGAAAGACATCCAGACTCGGGCTTAAATATTGTAATATTGAGTTGAATATTTCCTTTTGAGTCCAGGTATTGGAGTCTTTAAACAAATGTAATTCTGCAAAATGTCTGTCTCAGTTTTCTTTCACCTGTGCTCGTCTGCCATTTCCATGGCCCAGTTGCAAATGGCTCATGGCCTGGTAGTAATCTGGGGCCTGGGGGTTGAGCATTCCTAAAGTGATCTAGTGTTTTTGGCAGTATTTTTAGAAGTGGCTTGTTATTTAGCCTTCTTCCTAAGGCTAAAAGGCAATAACTGCCCCAAGGAAGGCAAAACTAGAACTTCCAGTCTTTTGGTTTATAACCTTATGCCTTAACTAGAAAGATCCAAGGACTTGTCAAGGTCATTGTCAAGAGTCAAGACTGACTCAAAGACAAAAAAAAAGTGAGTGGGGGAGGGTAGAGAGAAGAGACTGGAGAACTGTCCAGAAAAAAAAGACAATGCCTAGCAAGTCTTTCTGATTAACTTTCTCATTTGCAGAAGCACTGCTTGACCCATTTAAAGCCACACCTGGATGCTCTTCTTTCACTGGATTTGTTGCCAATGATGGTTTTGTAAATACCAGACTGCATAAGATTGAAGTCATACTGCTAGCTGAAATCAGTACTGTGCATTTTCTAATTGACATATATAAACCCAACATTTTTGCTCTAATGTACATACATATCAAAGTTTTTAAAGCTCAGGCTAGTCAAAACATGCTCTGAAAAATATTAATGTACCTGTAGATACTATAATTTGTATTCACTTGTCATCATTTCCTGCAATGCAGGGTGTCACATTATTAGGACATGCTGTGATACTGTACGCTTCAACTACAACGCGTTGTAATTAATGTGTTTAAGCTGAATGTAAATATTTAGAGTTTGCACTGAACATTTGTGAAAGAGACTCATTGATATGATTAGTAGCTAATGTCTAGAAATTGAAGTACACCAGGTGTTTTTCAGTGTTTGAATTAAATTATACCACCTCCTGCCAACTATTTTAATGCTGTTTCTATAACAGTGCCCGGACTGGAAAAATCAGAGTGCAATCCCTGAAGATTGGCTTGATATCTCTTTCTAAGGGTCTCTTGGAAGAAAAATACAGATGTGAGTATGCTTTAAATATAATTCTGGAAAATCCATAATTTTGCCAAGGTTTGGCAAGAGATGAAGTAGAGTTGTTTGGAACAAGTGCATTTCTCTGTCCTTTCTGTCTGTCTATCCAACCCATAGCCATGCTTGTGTGCACACACATACACACTTGTCACAGAATATTACTAAACTGATAAATTTACATCTCCTTTTGATTCTATATTTGAAGTAAGGCAATATTCCAACTCCAGTTTCAATGAAGTCCACATTCCAATAAAATGTTCCATCAAAATGTAGAATCATTAGTAATTAATTAATTAAATTTATTGGCCACCTATCTTGACCATGGGGTAACTCCAAGTGGCTTACACTACTTTCTTCAGAATTTCTTTCACAGATAGTCTATATTCTGCCTCAGAAACCAGTGTGCACCAATACCAGACGTTCTGGTAATGTTAAACAAAACTGACCTATAGTCAGAGAGCAGTTTCATTTAGTATCATATGTATTTGCAGCAATTCCTCTGAATAGTATAGAACTACCCAGTGGGATAGTAGATAATACCCAGTGAGGCAGTTTGGTTCAATCAGTATAAATGGATGTTTTGTAACAAAACATAACTTCTATGGCAGCCATTTTGTAAATAGGTAAGTCTCCTATGGGAAGCATTTTTAATGCCCCATCATACCTTCACATAAATCTAAATATATAGTCAGCTCAAAAGGTCTAGCTCTAGTGTAGACTTTCTATACTTCCCCCTTCTGCACACACACAGATACCTATTAGCTATTTCTATTACTTTTCTCACTGGTTGATTATCCAGGAATACACTGCTATATGAGAAGAACAAATACAACTGCCTGCTGTTCTGCAGCACATGATAAGATTGACTTTTTTCTTCTTATAGAGTTAAGAAAAATACAGTTTGGGAAAAATTTCTAACTTTATATATAATTCATCTGTTAACAAATTTCATGAATTAAAAAAAAAGCCTTTCGAGTAAACATTTGAGGACCAAAAAAATAAAAGGAAATTAAGTTACCAGAAAACAGGGGGATTTCTATTTTTTAGAATATTTATAAACTGCCATTCCTCTTTACCTAACCAACTGGTCCTATAAAGTAAAGCAAATAAAACGATTGAATTAGTAATGCCTCAACTCATCGCAATGGATTATATGTTCTGTTTTACAAAGTAGATTTGATGTTTACTGTTCATAGTAGCATTGGCCTTTTATATTGTATTAAGCTAAATTTCTATTGTAATACAGTTAGTAAATAATAGATGCTAACAGTGGGCATTCTGTGTAATTCAGATTTGCAGAATAAAATAAAATGACATAACATTATTTTTGTTTCTTTGCTAGCAAATGATCCTTTGTGCCATATTTGTTAAATAAGAAAGGAGTTCTTTTAAACCCTGTTTTGATGTCCCAGTCCTCTTTTCTTGAGATGTGCACAAATTCCATTAATTAATTAATTAATTAGGGAGTTCCTTAAGACTTGGCTTTTTTGCCCAGGCCTGGAGGCAGGGTGTTTTTGGGTCCCTTGTTAATATTATTATTGTCCATTCATCCAAGCACTTACGTTTTTAACTATGTTTTAAAGTTTTTGTGCTTTAAATATTGAAAGACGCTCAAGGTCTTTTCAGAGTTGGTTAGGTCTGAAAATCTACTCAATCTATCAAAATAAAGGATAAAATAATCCAACTTTCTTATATTGAAAATTATTGGATCTGAAATCAAATAGCCATGGTAGCGCAGTGGTTAGAATGCAGTATTGCAGGCTAATTCTGCTGACTCCTGATGGCCAGCAGTTTGGCAATTCAGTTCCCACCGGCTAAAGGTTGACTCAGCCTTCCATCCTTCTGAGGTGGGTAAAATCAGGACCCAGATTGTTGGGGGCAATATGCTGACTCTGTAAACTGCTTAGAGGGGGTTGTAAAGCACTGTGAAGTGGTATCTAAGTGCTATTGCTATATATCTTCCACTCTTGGGAAAGTAACTACTTAGAGCAGGGCTCTTTTGGTGGACACACTAGAATTTGTAAAACATGTGGGTGTTCTTGCAAAATAGTTTATAACCAGATAAAGTACCACTTTACATGATGTATATGTCATCTTGTTGATATCTTCCTCTGCATGTCATCTAAATGAGCCTGCTTATCTTTATTATGGGCAAATGAATGTGCTTCCAAACAAACAAAATACATTCAGTGCTCAGCTAGAACCATCTGTTTTTATCAGTCTCGGAAGTAAAAAAAAATTGGTTGGAAGCATGCAAGCTTTTTTTTAAATTAAAATACTTTTTTAAAAAAAATCTCATATGATATGAGTGGGGAACTTAGTGGCAAAAAGGAACAATCCTCAGGATCACTGGAATCTCCAGACATGATTTTGGAATCCTCAAGTTTAAAGAAATTTTTACTGTGACAAAAGAAGTACCACCCGCACCATTTAATTTTGGATAAAAATATTACTGAATCAAAATACAAATAAATGAAAAAAGAGCAGTTGGTTACTGGCTAATGAAACAACAGATTCTTGGAATACATTATAAATAAACCTAAACTCTTTAATTAGCTCCAGATATAATATGTAAATATTATGTAGCTTATCAGTGAAACTCAGACCCATAAATGTCGTACAATAAGGAATGTTCACTTCATAAATTATTTGAAAAACTTATGAAAAGTTACATGCCACATATTGGGAACATGAATTAACAGAAATAGCTCTATCTCGGGGTTGATAAAAGATGATTGATGTGAGAATACTTCATGATGTGGAAGAAGCGTTAGTGTTTAATTCAAGCTTATCTGCTCATAAATATATCTTAAGCATGCAGTATAAATGATTAAGTAAATATTAGACTAGGAAGAATGTGTTGAAGTCATTCCAGATAAGTGAAATAGAAAAGTCTGTCAGATTCTTCTCTCTTCCATGTGGTATTTAAGTAGATCTAAAGCAACAGCGTACAAATCTTGATAGAGAAACATGCTAGGTATTTTATTGTTTGAATGTAATCGTAACTTTGTAATTTTTTTTTATATGATTAGCTTTTATTTTAACCCAATACAGAATGGTGTTTTAATAAAACTTTCAATTTGGAGAGTGATTTTAAAAACAAATACTTTGTGCTTAAGACCCCAGAAAGAGACTTAGGTTCCCAGAGTGAATGGTATAATGTAATTGGTGCTGTACTTCAAAAACTCTTCAATATGTTGAAGAACTGTTAAGCTACGGGTGTCCAACTTTTTGCTTTCCTGGGCCACATTAAGTGAAGATGAATTGTCTTGGGCCACATATAAAATACAGGTCCTCAACTTACAGCAGTTCATTTAGTGACTATTCAAAGTTACAATGGCACTGAAAAAAGTGAATTATGACCATTTTTCACAGTTACGATCTTTGTAGCATCCCCAGGATCATGTGATCAAAATTCATATGTTTGGCCAACTGGTTCATACTTATGACTGTTGTAGGGTCCCGGGGTCACGTGATCCCCTTTTGCAATCTTCTGACAAGCAAAGTCAATGGGGGAGCCAGGTTCACTTAACAACCATGTTGCTAACTTATCAGCTGCAGTGATTCTCTTAACAACTGTGGCAAGAAATGTCATAAAATGGGGCAAAACTCACTTAACAAATATCTCACTTAACACTAAAAATTTTGCAAGTTGAGGATTATCTGTATATAATACAGTTATAATAAATGCTATAAATAATGTTAAAAGTTTATAATCTTGTGTAAAGAGTATGCATTACTAGCTGTCCAGGGCCAAATTTGGCCCATGGGCCACGGGTTGGATAGTTCTGTGTTAAGCTAAAAGCTTAAATAAAATAGAAATACAAAAAGGGATTTTTTAAAAAATACAAACAGTTATTTACATTTTCAAGAGAATAAATTTTTTAACTTGGCTCTGGTAACAAACAATATTGATGATTGCTATGAAACTTATTTTCTCCCCAGTTTTGGTGGACAATGGGTCTCTATTCCTCACTTCCTTTCCCATGCACTATTTGTAAGAAACAGCAAAAATATATGACAGCACCTTCTTTAATAGCCAACATATCACTGTGGAATGCAGAGAGAGTATTAGTTAAAGGGCAAAATGAAGCCAAAATTGCCCTAAATCACCTCTTCCTCATTCTGTTCAATTTAGATGGATTTTTCTGTGATCTCCCTTTATTAACAAATAAGAAGTGATAGAGAATGGCAGACATGAAAGCGCTGCCTGAAATACAAATTTACAGGAATTGTAAGGAAAACATTTTGCATTTCTATGCTTTGCACTAAGGAAGAGATGCTTAGAGTAATTCACAGGTAAAATTGGAAGAAATGAGAAATTCTCAATCCTTCTCAAACAAGTGTCCTTTTTACTCCCGCCCCTTCCCTTTTTGCCTTGAAGATCTCTTTAGAGAAGTGGCCGGACCAACCGAAATGTGTGACCAGAGGCAGCTTGGCTTGTTATTGCACGATGCTATCCAAATCCCTCGACAGCTTGGGGAAGTAGCCGCTTTTGGAGGCAGTAATATTGAGCCCAGTGTCCGAAGCTGTTTCCAGCAGGTAATTGTGTTTGTTTCTATTTCTGGATGCTCTAAATACGGTATGTTCAGATGTTAGTTGGGTTCAGAGGGAGTGTTCTGGCCAAGGCTTCCTGAGACCATAATTAAGCACACTCTTAGTGAAAATAACTCTTGTTTTATTTCAACACTGGGAATTATGCTAATTTCCAGCCTGTAATGAGTCCCAAACAGTCCCTCGAGATAAGTACCCACCTTTATCTCCTTTGAATTGCTGCCAACAACTAAAGTGCCAAATTAACTGGAAAAAAAACACCAACCGAAGTACAAAGTGCACACAGAGCTTCAAGGTTTAATCCAAACACAGCGAACGACTTTGCTTCCTGGAAAGGAGCCTTGCACCTCCTTTATACCTTAGGGGACGGGCAATCACCTCCAAGCCTTATTCCCAAGTTGCCCGTTTTGTCTCAGCTGCTCTTGCCTTCTAGCAGCTCTGTACATATGCACACTGGGAACAGGCTCCCCTTGTTCCTCTGCCTTGCTGCTGCCAGACTCCAGAGGCTCTGGAGTCAGCACCCCACTCCCAGTTGATCCTGGCCCCCTCTCTGCATTGGATGCAGGACCCTCGTCCGAGTCCTCCCCAGACTCCCGGACTGGTCCCCATTCTTCCCGACTGTCTGATTCCACTGCCGTTTGTACAGGCTGCCGACAAACCACAACAGGGAGTCTCTTACAGACCTTCTGAAGATTTGAAACTCACTTCTAAAGGAACATAACAGAATAGCAAATTAACAGAGTTGGAAGGGACCTTGGAAGTCTTCTAGTCTAACCCCCTGCTCTGGCAGGAAACCCTAGACATTGGAGGCAAGGTTTATACACCCATTACTGCCATCCTTTCCTTTAATCATTTGAAGTGCCTGGAATGGGCTTTTAGTCTCATAAGTTTGTAGCACTGATTGGAAAGGCTTATACAGAGAGTTCTCGACTTACGAACACAGTTGGGACCAGAATTTCCATAGCTGAGTAAGGAAGTTAAGTGATTCACACCTGATTTTATGACCTTTTTTTGCCATGGTTAAGTGAATCCCACGGTTGTTAAGCTTTATTGCCTTTGCATGTCAAAAACTGGCTTGGAAGGTTGCCAGTGGTGATCAAAGGACCCCAAGGATGCTGCAATCATAAGTATGTGCCGGTTGCAAGTGCCCAAATTTTGATCATCTGACCATGGGGATAGTGCAGTGGTCATAAGTGCGAAGATTGGTCATAGGTCACTTTTTTCAGTACCGTTATAACTTCAGACAGTCACTAAAAGGAATGATTGTAAGTCAACTACCTGTACAAGGGGCGCTCCTATTACAGCGGAAGTAATTGTCTTTTCTTTTTTGACTGAATGTTGGTGGGATGAGTATTGTTCCCTTGAAGATTAAACTTGGAATACAATTTTTTTAAAGAAAATAGACTGAACAGGAAGCTTTAATATGAATTAAATTATTTTTAATCTCATTCTCATTTATCAGCATAATAATAAGCCAGAAATTGATGTAAAGCAGTTCATAGACTGGATGCGCCTGGAGCCACAATCTATGGTATGGTTGCCAGTTCTACACAGAGTAGCAGCTTCAGAAACAGCAAAACATCAGGCCAAGTGCAACATCTGTAAAGAATGTCCAATTGTTGGCTTTAGGTAAGCGAAATAAAAAGCCTTTTATGAATTGTATCAGTAATGTAATTGACTTATATTCCAGCTTCATTGTACATGCTATGCTAGTAACTCATTACCTGATATATTTTAAGTTAGAGACTCATAAAAAGTAAAGGGGAAGGGGCTCTTAGAGGTCTTCTAATCAGTACAGACTGCACTACAACTTTTCTGTAGTGATGACCGTCTAGCCTCTGTCTGAAGATATGTAGCAAAGAAGAAGTTGGCCACCAAGTTGGGCACTTCTTTTAACCATTTGTCTTGTTGGTTTGGGTTTTAGACCTTTTGTTATCTTGATAACTCACCCTCTTTTGGTTTGGGAAAAATGAACATGAATCAATGTGTATGCTTAATTCAGTAAGTGGAAAATCCATTGGGCGGTATTGTTTCAGAAATTCACACTCATCAATTGAATGGATTGTCACCTGCTTCTGGATTAAAACAATTGACCAGGTTTTTGAAACTAAACTATAAAGTAATTTACTATAGAAAACTTTACAGTACAGTAAATTATTAAATGTAGAAAACGTTTGAGAAGATTATGTAGATTAACGTCTATAGCTAATATGGATTAGAATGTAAATAGGGTTGAAGCCAGGCGGAATTCGTGATAATTCTTGCCAGTCTCATGAAGCTGCTTTACAAGCAGCACTGTACCCCTTATGTGGGCTTATTATCACAATGATGCAGTATTTGCATTATGCTGGGGAAATTGCAACTCAGTAACACAGACCTTGTGATAGTTTTGTATAAGATTTTTGTGCTCAAATATTTGTGGTGTTAGTTCAGTAACTGAATCTGAATTCATTACAAGTGTTATTACCAATGTTCCCAAATTGTATGGAAATTCCTAACAAAAATGTTTTAACAGTAGCAGGTTTGCAGAGCTGTCTGTTCTAAGGAAGGTTTCTTCTCCATGAAAGAAAGCAAAGGGAGGCAGCAGATAGTAACAGTTCAGAATGGTCTCCCCGTATGAATGGTCACACATGCTGTGCCCTCTTCCATAGGTATAGGTTTAATTATATCAGATGGAGAGCTCTCTAAGTGGCTATCGTATTATTTATTAGTCTAGCATTT